TTAATTGTTTTTGAACAAAGACTCCTTTAGAAGGAAGGGCATAAATGAGTTTTTGGTGGAACACCCAACCTGTTCAAAAAAGTGAGGTAAAAATATCTTTGAGGCAAGAAAAAATCCTCCCTCTGCTCTCTGTGAAACTCAGAAAGGTATTTATCATTGAGCTTTATAACAGGAACTTTTTTGCCCAAAACGGAGCTCTACCTTCATCTTCTTTTCATCTTCCTCTTTCAAACAGAATGCTTTAAAAGCAGTGTGCAGAACTTCTGATACAACCCCATAGTGCAGGCCTCCCACAAAAATATTACAGTTGTTAGGAGAAGCTGTCAATGTCTTCCACAGGGCGACATCTTTTTCACTGGATAAGTAAGTATGGTCTTGAGTGATACTGTCAGGGCCAAGTGAATTACTGGAGGCAAGACTCTCATGTTCCTGTTTTAGGGGCAGAAGGAAACAAAGACAGAAAAAAGCAAGGCAAAAAAGGCAAATTGTCATTTGGCACCATTCAGATCAGTAAAAGATGGGATAAAGGACTTTTTTAAATAATGATTTAACTATTGTATACTATACATGATAGAAAGTGAACCTGTCAGTATATTAAGGGATTCATGCTGGTTTGACTCTCTGGACAACATGTAGCTCCCACATAATGGTTTGGAACTTTCTTGAAAAAATTACCTCAGACGACAAGCAATGTTACATAGTTACAAAGCCTGATTCTACCTCTTATTTGCAAATGTCATTCTAGTGACATTATTATACAGTAATCACTGTAGAAAATACAATCAAAATGTGAGATCTTCGGAATGGCATTATTGTCATGGTACTTTACATTCATTCCATCCAATCCAAATGACACAAAAGGAAGAGGTGGAGGTTGGAAATTTTCTTGATGTGGCATCTGGTTGACATAACTCAACATCTTTTGGACAGAAACCTCTTGTTCCTCTGATGACACTAAATATGGTCAGGATTGTTATGAAATGAATTAATTAAAATATCTATTAAAATTGTATAACAATAAATTCAGACAGAAAATGACTTGAAACTGGGCCTATTAGTTGATAGTATCATGTGATTCCTCTGTTGAGGATAGAACTTAAACAGATTATTGTTGGTGAGAAAGGTTGATTTCTGATGATCGATGGTAAGGCAACATCAGAGTCAAGGAAAGAGTTGTCTGCCTTTTAATAGGACTGAGAAAAAAAAGAAAAAAGAAAAAAAAACTGACCACACAATTTCCAGGCACAAACTTAAGCGATACCGTGCAGCCAAGAAAGTTTCCTTTCCCTATCTCCAATGATGAATTAGGCTAACTATATACCAAAATGTTATTAACCCTTTAACTCCCAGATCAAATTTGTCATTCTCTTCACTGTCAACCACACAATTCTTACAGTGTTAGTTCAGAGAATTTATTATATATTGGATCACCTAATTATCCCCAAATTTAAATGTTTTTCAGTCTATTCTCATCACTTATCTGGTTGATATTGTATTGATATTGTAAGGAGAAATTCTGTCTTGGTCACTCGTGGGAGTTAAAGGGTTAACTGTCACTAACAAAAATCAGGACTTCCCTTCCTCCTACAATCATACAACACAATTGAATGCTTTCACAAGGATTGTATACTTCATGCCAGTGTCATGATGGCACCAAGGCAAAAAAAACAATGATCCATGAACTGGGGAGGTTGAACTCAGGGATAACAGGAGCACAAGCAGGGTGGGTGGGGTGGGGTATAGAGTCAAAAACCTCTCTCCTCCACATAGGCTTAAAAAAAAAATAAAAAGTTGCTGAATATTCATTGATTTGTGCCTGCCCTCATTCTGTGTGGCAGATATCTCCTTGTAAGCTTCTGTGGAGAAGAAGAAGTGTCCAAAATCCTTTCAAAAATGGGACAAATACCCCATAAGTCCTTCCCTGAATCATACTAACTCTTACCCTCAAGTTGCTTTGCTTTTCTTAAGATTGTCACTGGAGCCTTTATTCTCTCCAGTTTCCTTCTTTTTCCTCTTGTTATTTCTGCTGGTTTCTTTACATATTTTCTGTGACTTGGGTGTGGTTGACACTTCTTGCCTTGCTGAGTGTTTCGGTGACACCTCTCTGAGCTTGAGCACCCAACTAAATTTTATACAAAAGTGAGAAAACAAAGCAGTCACAAGGCAATAATAACCTATTGACTGACTAACTGACTGACTGGCTGGCTGACTAGCTGACTGATTGGCTGACAGACCAGCTAACTGACTAGCTGACTGATTGGCTGGATGACTGGCTGAATAACTGGCTGGTTGATTAACTGACTGATTGGCTGGCTGACTTGCTGACTGACCCTCTGACTGACATACTGATGCACTGAGTATTGATAGACTGACAGACTGACTGACTGACTGATCCAGGACTGTCTGACTAACTGACCAGCCAAGTGATTGACTGAGTGAATGAT